TCCCTCGGAGCGGTGATCGACCCCGAAGCTGGCGTCGGCATCTTCAAGAAGATCGACCGCCGAAGGCTGATCACTTTCCAGAGGTCACGGACTGGTCACCTCCTTCTCGGCCTGACGTGCGACCTGCTGGGCGCCGGCGAGACCGCCGAGAGGCCGGTCGATTGCAGTCCGAGCCGGGGCGTGGCTGCACGTCCTGGACCGGCGCAGGCGCCGGCGCTGGAGGACTCAGACACGATGGCGCCAGCGGTTGCGCCATATATCATCTCCCCATCGCCTCCTCATACGTCATCTCACTCGTCCTTCTGCCAGGGCATCTGACGGTGGTCCAACAGGCACTGAAGCGGCTCTCTGGACGACGGCAGAGGCTCAACAAAGGCCTGTAAGACAGTCAGGCTCCAAGGAGCCGACACCAGGAACAATCCGGACGACCCCTGGAAGCGACTCTGTGTCTACGTGTTCGAGAAGGGCCACCAGAGGATCTACGAGGGCCTCCACGAGATCGCTGAGCACGGGGAAAGGTGCACAGCGTGCGGTGCCCAGATCATGCCGTCGGGGATCCAGGGGACTTACGGATCTCAAGAGAAGTCTTCTACGAGCCTGGTGGGGTCTTCGGGAACTCGAAGTTTGTCTGCCTCGCTAACTAAGACTCCAGAGACACCTCCGGGAGGGCTTCTCTTCGCTAGCAGCACCGTGGGCGACTCGAAACTCCAGGTAAAATCGAACCCGGAGGTCTTGGAACAAACCTCTCAGAACGACGGCGTTTCGGGACATCCTGGAATGCTCGGTGACGCAGATCTGAATCCGACATGGTCTAACTGTACGCTCTGTTTTCGGAATCAGGCTCAAGGTCATTGTGAGCCTCAGACCCTAGGGCGGGAGGGTCACAGTTCCACACATGTTCTCGCATCCACACGCCCACTGCTGGAGGACAGACGGTTCGAGTCTAGTATCTAAAGCGTTGAACACCTGGCCCTGCAATGAAGCACGGCGCCACTTGTAGGATAATGCTAGAGACCATGCCCCACCCATTTGATATAAAAAAAAACCTTTTTTGCCACCTCACAACATCTAAAAACCTCGCGAGGCGCCGTGTCCAGGGACTTCAGGAAAGGCCCAAGATACCGAACACAATCGGCAATGGCCCCCACGAATCGTTGATCTGACTGCCCTGAGCGCGCGACGCGCGTGATGGTCGTGATGTAAGAGATAGGTTCACATCTCCTGCTTGCTAATATTTTGCCCATGCCCATATGGTTCTAGAGCCTCATCTAGCAGACCGTCCAGCCTCCCGAGCTTGTTTAGAAAATCACGTAGTGCACTGCCCTCGTCAGCTAATCTCATCTTCTGAAGGTCGTCTGCATACTGCGGTAAACTCAGATCGGCCCTGAGGACAGCCCAGCAAGGAACGAGACCCCGCGATCTCACATCGGCGCGCAGGAGTGAGTTGCTCCAACCGAGTACTGCTCATGGGTCTCCCATGGGCCCTCCACGCCTTGGTCGCGCGAGGAGGGCCCCTCCTGTGCGTCGAGCTCGATGATGGCCGCGCGGTAGCGCTAGCGACAAAGTGCTCGGTCGTGCCCAGCCGCCGCAGGAGAAACTGCCTGGTCCAACTCAGACCAGGTCGAACTTGCAAAAACATTGCTCGTGTCCTTAAACGTGTTGCAATGTGTAACCCCCATCCTTCTAGCCCTCCATCCTGTAGTTAACGTAGCTAGTGCAGAATATTATCGGCGTCGATGTTTACACACCCATGATCGGCCACCGTCGGTTGAACCATTAGCTTCCTGGGTATGTTCGCACCCCTGGACTTGTTCCAATATAGCGGCACCTCCTGATACTCCCTCATCTTAGCTAGACCCAGGCCGAGGAAAACAACAGAAACATAAACCTTGCGGCGGTATCAACTTAGTCTCCGATCCTAGCCCAGCCCGGCAGCGAACGCGATAGTTTGGCCACATGCACTGATGCCAGATCTCAAGCGGCGCGGTTCCAGCGGGCACTGATTTTTTTTGTTCTTCTTGGGGGGGGGGGGGGTCGAGCAGATTGCCGAATGACCTGCGCATCTTCTTTGTCCAGTTCAAGTGTCTCTTCGTTAGAGACGTCGGAATAGTAAACCCCTGCAGCCACCCGTGAGTCCCTCCAGTTGCCCCGGGATTCCTCGACCACCTCCATGCCTCCTTCTGCCCCAGACTTGCCCCGCGCTGCTAACCGAGCTCCACGACAAGGGGGGGCGCGGCGTGAGCTGGGTTCGAAGCCGCCTGGTTGATCGGCGTCGATCCAAAAAAGAGCTGGTGGGCCCGTTCTCTCAACTCCTGATCGATGCGAAGGGCCTCCTCGGGGGAGGCGTTATACTTACCATTCCGAAGCTCGACTCGCTGTGCCAACAGGCTACGTCGTCGCGCGCAATCCGCTGAGTAATCTGGTCTTAATTCACGAACACGAGAAAAACAGGCCTGACCAGACTCCACTAAACTTCGCTCTAGCACCTCAAAGATCTCATCAAGGGAAGCATTGTCGCGAAACCACTGCATGTGTAAAGAACCACACCGTGCCTTCAATATTGACAGAAACTCTGCGCGACCCCGTCCTTCACGTCGTGGCTGCACCAACCGATCCACATCCCACTCCTCTATGTGCTGTGTGTCCGCCGGTGCGCCACCTTGCTTCTCATAGCGTAAGACTGCCACCAGAGGAATATGTTCCTTCGGATAAACTCCTCTGATGGCCTGCAACGTCGAGCCCAGTCTGTAGTGAGCCCTGCGAGTGACAACTGAATCGTGCATTGCTCGAGGGAGAAAAAGATAGTCAATTCTCGAATTACCAATCGTGCCGAAAAACGTTGATTCAAGCTCTGAGCCGAAGGCGTTCCCCGCCACGAGCTCGTGGGTCTTCATCAGCATGCGCATACGGTGTCCTGTTCCATTCACATACAGTTCTCTGTTCGGTATGACAACCACTTGAGAATCGACTGATGCCCACACTCCGTCCGTTCGAGTTTCGCCGATCCCGTCGTTCAAATCGCAGTACACTATTGGGGTACATCGAACAGGGCGGGGATAAAGTACTGCTGCCAACCATAAAATAAATATTGATCCAATTTGAAATACCCTCCGTGTTCAGCCCTCGACTTCGGACGGGGTGCGAAATAACACACAACGCCGCACATGTCCACCGCTCCGTACAGCACTCTCGCTGCGACCGCTCTGCCCATAGCCTCGGGCGGAGGCGCCCATGTTCGTAGAAGGTGTCGGGCCACCTGGGGGCTGAATGCGAGAGAGCAGCCACAACTATGATTGCTGAACGGCGACGGGAAGAAGGGGCCGAAATACACACTCTTCCTGCAAGCGTGAGTACTGAACGTGTGGAGCGAGTGCGTGGTGTTCAACCTGCTGTGTACCTGCGAGGAGAACCATATCAGAGTTCCTTGTCTATCCCAGGCGTTCAGGAAGGCGCTCTCCGGAAGTATGCATGGGATTGAATCCAAATATCCTCAGAAAAGACATCGCCACCCATCCCGCTGAACCACAAAAATATTCCCATGGGCGGCGGCCAACGATATACCTCGGGTCACGCGCGGAGAACCCCCCCTCTGGCAATCTCTCGATGAAAAAAGGGGCTTGGAGGAGGAGGGGGAGGAGGACGAGGAGGAGGAGGAGGAGGAGGAGGAGGGGGAGGGGGACGGGGAGGGGGGGGGGAGGCCGAGGGGGAGGGGGAGGAGGAGGAGGAGGAGGAGGAAGAGGAGGAGGAGGAGGAGGCGGAGGAGGAGGAGGCGGAGGCGGAGGCGGAGGCGGAGTAGCCGTCGCATCCTCAGGAGAAGGCCGATCACGGCGCGAAGCGGGCGTGGGCATGCTGCTCAGGCACCCCGGCCGTGTTGAGCAGAGCGGGCGCGACGGAGCCTGCGGCGTCGCCGTCTGGTGTGAACAGCGCCAGCACGCACTCCCCAGAACTGGCGTCCCAGACCTTCGACGCGTCGTAGAGAATGAGTCAGCGGCGTGCGAGCGGGGGGGAAGTGAGAAGGGGAGGGCCTTCTCAGAAAACTGCGGGGCGTCTCGGAAGCCTTCCGGCCTTTTGAGAGACATTCTTTCTTCGGGGAAGGCTCGGGAGACTTCTCTAGAGGCCGGGGAAATTTCGAGCCCTTCCGCCCCGTCTCCCTCCCCCCCTGGGCTCGTCGCCGATTCGATTCGGTGCGTCGTGGAATGATAGGGGGGAACGGGATGGGGAGAACCCTGAGATCCAGGCGTTGCACGGGCGTTCTCGCCCAGTTTCGGGCGGGCCCCGGGGACTCTCTCACATATCGATCCGTCTCGAGAGATGGCGCAGTAAGATGGGGTCTAGGGTCGAGGGCTCCTGTAGTGACTTTCTGCGATGCTGCACTTCTGATTGCAACGTCTGATCTCAGGGGTGGAAACATAATAAAGAATTGTTACGGAAGGGAGAGGGGGAGGGAGTAAGGGGGGAGAAGCAGGAGGAAGAAGACAGCGGACGGGCAGAGAAGAAGGGTGAGGCCGCGGATTTGCATGCCCGAGGTGGGCACGGAAACAGCTAGGTAAACTGCCCAACACCACATGTTGTCCAGTCTCCGACGGCGGCCGTTCTTGGGCAGGCGACTGCCTGCCGCAATTGGACAGGGTCAGTCCGCGGTGATTCCTCTAGCGAGTCCTGCTCAGAGTGTGCAGCGCTGTCGGTCTTCATACGCAGTCTTTCCATACCCCTTTCGAGCATACCGAGCGGAAGAGGAACCTGGGAAAACCAAACGGTACCAATACGACTACTCCCCGGACCTCTCCCAGGTTGCGTTCTGACCAGGATTTCGAGGCGAATCCAGCTGTGGCGACGAAGGTCTGCCAGGAGTCCCCCCAAAGAAGAAATCGAGTCAAGGGTAGCGGTATGGATACTTTGTCCTCCTCCGAGAGCCCGCGTCACAGACCTTCGCCGTATCATCCAGCGAAGCGGTCAGCACCTGCCGCCCGTCCGGGCAGAAGACGGCGGACATCACGAAGTCATGGTGGCCCTCCAGCGTGCGCAGACACTCCCCCGAGCTTGCGTCCCAGACCTTCACCGTGTCACTAAAAGAGAATTGGCGGCGCGCAGAAGGGGGTAGGGGGAGGGGGGAGGGCTTCGTAGAAGCAGGGGGGCTTCGAATAAGCCTTCCCCCCTCCGCCTACCCCCCCCCCTGCGCGTGGCTGAGAAATGAAGGAAGGATCGTGGATGGAGGCCTCCAAAACGAGGTCCGAGTCGATGGAGTCAGAGGATCGCGCCACATCGCCAATGCATCGCCGATGCATCGCCGATGCATCACCGATACATCGGCGACGTCAGCGATGCATCGGCGACGTCGGCGTGAAGAACATCGAGCTCCACATCGAGCCGCATCACCGATGCATCGGCGATGCGGCGCGATCTTCCGACCCCTATCTACTCTGATCTGATCCCATCTGAGTCTGGAAAGCCTAGAGTCCTAGATTGGAGGAGAGAGCCTAAAGGAGATGGGGATAATAAGAGAGGATGATTACTGGCGGCGCACAAGGGGGGTGCACGATTTGCGCGGTCTTCTAAGAAGGCGGGGGAGCTTCTAAGATAGCGGAAGGGTTCTGAGAAGCCCTCCCAGCTGCTAAGAAGCCGCCGGGCCATGCTAAGAAACCACCCGCCTTCTGAGAAACACCCAAACCAAATTATGCGCCCCCCGTGCGCGCCGTCAAGATGAGAACGATGACGATAAGAGCGAGCGAGGGCACGACCACCAGTGCGGACAAGCGTCTGGGTGTAAATAAGACCTCTTGAAACAGGCCTTGGCTCCTGATAGCGGCATATGGCCGACTCCAGAAACCTGAACTCCAAAACAATGACATCTCTTGGGAGGGGCGATGTTTTACTTTCGCCCGCCTTCCGTCGATGAAGAAATTATGCAAACCCTCTCGATCGTCGAAACCGAGGCCCTGCCCACAGTCAGTAGACACAAACGATAAGACATCCTGCTACGAGATATCGTGAGGACATGCTTCGTCGATCCTCGAGGGTCTCAATTCGCCCCAAAGCTTCTGCGGGTCCCCGGGGCCATCGGGGATAGGCTATTTTTAGTAGGGCATCTGCTGGCCGACCGATGCCTTACCTGATGTGCCTGTTGTACTGTGCCGCGCCCGACAAACAACAAACGAGCGACGAAAAGAAACGGGTTTACGCGAGAAGACATCGCGATCTTACGCCGCGGCTCACGCTTGGCACCGCGCATGGAGAAGAGAGCGCTTACGCGCGACCTTACCTACGCGGGAAGCTTACGAGCGAATGTCCGCGCAGCCGACCCCATGCTCTTCCGTCGTCTACCCGCTCTGCTAGAAAGCCGCCGCCTCCCTCGCGCTACCTCCTCTTGGCATGGAGGAAGGGGGTCCTGAAGCAACCGGGACCCTGGACCCCAGGGCTCTCTCCCATGACTAGATCTTTCATCCTGAACAACTTTCTGACGGTCCCAGGGACCGCGGGGGGGCCACGGTGCCCACCCCTTTTTGGCCGAAGAAAGAACCAAAGCACAAACACAAACTTCCGGAGTTCCGCGCGGATCCTCCATCGCTCCTCAAGTGTCAAAGAAGAAGGCGAGGAAGACGAACACGACGACGACGACGACGACGACGACGGGCTGGCTGTGCCTGACCTTCGCCGTCCGGTCCACCGAGGCGGTAACCGCCTGCCGCCCCATCCCCCCCCTTTTCCTCCTCCTCCTCCTCCTCCTCCTCCTCCTTCTCCCTCTCCTCCTCCTCCTGCTATTGCTCCTCCTCCTCCTCCTCCTCCTCCAACGACCCTCCTCTCCTCCTCCTCCTCCTCCTCCTCCCCACTCCTCCTCCTCCTCCTCCAACGACCCTCCTCCTCCTCCTCCTCCTCCTCCGCTCCATCCATCCTGTACCCCTCCTGTACCCCTCCTCCTCCGCCGCCTCTTCTTCCACCTCCTCCTCCTTCTCCTCCTCCCACTGCTGCGCCTCCTCCTCCTCCTCGTCCTTTTCCCTCTCCTCCTCCTCCTGCTCCACCTCCTCCTCCTGCTCCTCCTCCTCCTCCTCCCACTACTCCTCTTCTCTCCCTCCATCCCTCCTGTACTCCTCCTCCTCCGCCGCCTCTTCCTCCACCTCCTCCTCCTCCTCCTCCTCCTCCTCCCTCCTCCTCCTCCCCTCCCCCTCCTCCTCCTCCTCCTCCTCGCCGCCTCTTCCTCCACCTCCTCCTCCTTCTCCTCCTCCGCTCCATCCCTCCTGTACCCCTCCTCCTTCGCCGACTCTTCCACCTCCTCCTCCTCCTCCTCCTCTTCCTTTTCCTCCCTTCCCTCCTCCTGCTACGCCTCCTCCTCCTCCTCCTCCTCCTCCTCCACCTCTCCTCCTCCCTCTCCTCCTCCTCCTCCTCCCCCATCTCACCCTCTCCCTCCCCCTCTAATTCCACCTCCCCTCCTTGTCTCCTCCCCCCCCTCCTCCTCCTTCGCCTCGTCCTCCTCACCCTTCCATTTCTCCTCCTCCTCCTCCTCCTCCTTCGCCTCCTCCTCCTCCTCTTCATCCTCCTCCTCCCTTTCTTTTGGCAGCAACGGCACGGCCCCTACGACAGCTCTGCGAACACAAGCCCAGAGGCGCAACTGGAGAAGCACTGAAACTGTAATGAAAGCAATGGGATGAATTCGCCTATGTCGACGGACATTGCTCCTTCTCCTCCTCCTCCTCCTCCTTCTACTCCTCCATCTCCTCCGTCTCCCCCTCCCCTCCCCCTCCCTCTCTCTATGTTCCATCGTTGTTCCTGGTCAGTATCTCCTCACTGCGGCACCCTCAGACGTGTCAGTTGGGCGAGCCAGGCGTTTGGCCTCAGACTTCCTCACCATCTGTGACCCCGAATCTTATAATTAGAGCAACAGCTGCAAGGATGCAGGGCGGATGGTTTTCAAAATGTGGCTTTCGCCGTAGGGCCGCGCATGTTCATACTAGAAATTTACGACAGCTTCAAGGATGGAGGGCGGCTTCTCATTGACATGTGGTTCTCGCCATAGCGCCGCGCGCACTCGCCGTAAAAGTTTGCAGCAATGTCAAACATGTAGAGGGCGGGTGTTGTCTGCTTGGTATTGAATGTGGCTGTCGGACGAGCGCCGCGCGCATACATTTGAATATACAATTCGCAACAACTTCGAGGATTGAGGCCGGCTCCATTGCAACATGTGACTCTCGCCTTTTGCCGCGCGCATTCGTCAGAAACGTTTGCGACAATCTCAAACATTCGTAAGGTTTTGAGTCCTGAGAGCGGTGTTCTCGCATGATTTCGGATTGCCCGGGTGCCGCCACATTAATTCGCGACTTGAAGTCCCAAGGATAGTGTTTTGGCAATGTTGGAGATTCTCTGTCGGTTACCTGCCAATGGGGCACCACCCGCAATGCACATAAATCCCTGTAGCGACCTATGAAAAAGAAGACTTCGAGGGACCGTGTAGTTTCACATCGTTGGAGCGTCTTGGACTTACACTGGTCCTCCTCCTCCTCCTCCTCCTCCTCCTTCCTCTCCTCCTCCTCCTCCTCCTCCTCGTCCTCTTCCTCTTCCTCCTTCTCCTCCTCCTCCTCCTCCTCCTTCCCCCTCCTCCTCCTCCTCCTGCTCCCCCTCCTCCTCCCTCTCCTTCCCCTCTCCTCCTCCTGTTCCCCCTCCTCCTCCACCTCCTCCTCTTTCTCCTCCTGATCCTCCTCCTCTTCCCCCCCCTCTCCCCCTCCCCCGCCCTGTTCCTCCTCCTCCTGCTCCTCCTCCTCCTCCTCATATTCCCTCGCTTGGCCGAGGCCAGAGGATCGAGGTTTGAGGCTCCTGACTCGAACTTCGCTGCTCTAGGTTTTCCTGTGTTTTTACATCGTTGGAATTCCCTTGGTATACATTGCTCGGGCTTATTTGGCACTCTCGTCTTCACGTATGGATTCTCCTGACAGGTGTTCAAAGGAAAAGAAGGAAAAATAGGAGGAGGACAGAGGAGGAGGAGGAAAGAAAGAAGAAACGCCTAGTCAACGCCGTCGTAGTCGCCGGCGTCTCTCTCGGCTTCGTCTTTCACATGGATTCACTGACACTAAGAGATTGAACATGACAATGTCTTTACCGAAGCATGCCATCACTATGAGATGCACATCTGGGGATCTTCGCGTCGAGTAATTGTTCAAAATGCTGCTCTCGCGGAGGCGCTGGCTTCACTTTCGGGCCACCGCTCGTTCCGAATCGTGCTCCCGCTGCAACGCTGGCCTCATTTCCGCGCTTCCGCTCGTTTCCAATCGTGCTCCCGCTGCGGCGCTGGCGTCATGATTTCCAGCGCCATGTCACGGCATGGTTTTCGGTCCTTCCAAATAGGCTCCAAAATCTAAAAAATGCGCCCCCCCCCTGAAAAAAACATCGGAAATGATTCCGCATTCGGCGTCGATTCGTTGACTTTTGGGTCGCAATAGCCCCCCCACTTTGACGCGTCGCCACGCCATGCTATGTCAGGCCCCGCATCCTCCGAATCGTGCTCCCGCTGCAGCGCTGGCCTCATTTGCTTCCGCTCGTTCCGAATCGTGCTCCCGCTGCAGCGCTGGCGTCATTTTTTCCAGTGCCATGCCACGGCATGGCTTCGGTCCGTCCGAATAAGTTCCAAAATGTAGAAACAAAACATCGCGAAGAAACCATCGGAAGTGATCACACATTCGGCGTCGATTCGTTGATTTTTGGGGCCGCAGAAGCCCCCCCCACTTTGGGGCGTCGCCACGCCATGCTACGTCATGATACGCGTTGATCTTCAACACCATGCTATGCCATGTAATGCTATGCCATGCTGCGACATCCGATTGTGCGAATATAAAAGATATCTACGCCATGGTAAGGGATGGGTGGGAGGGGTAGAACGTCAGATATGACGCGAGCGCACCGAGCTTGTCCCCCTCCCCCTCCTCCTCCTCCTCCTCCTCCGCCTCCTCCTCGTCCTCCTCCTCCTCCGCCTCCCTCTCCTGCATATGGTAATGGTTAGTGGTGGTGAAAAAGCCAGCCCATCAACGGCAAGGGTCAGCCGAAGCGGCAAGTAGAACCACGGCGTGCGCGAACTTTGGGAGGTGGCGTCTGGCGGTAGGCGGCGGTACGCGTGAGGGTGGGGTGACGGCCTCTCCGTCCGTGCCTGCGCGCGCACCGGTCAGTGGGCCCTCCGTTCGGAATGCAGGTTTTCGTTCGAACGCGCCGATTTCGGTTGGCTTTCCCTGAGGCCCCTCACGAAGCCTCCTTCCCGGGAGCTTCCTGGGCGCAGTGGTTGAAGAAAAGGGGCGCCCCGGCCGTCCCGGCCCCTGCCAGGACGGCCAGCGGCGCACCCCCCTCACCGCCCCCCCTCTCCCCCCCGAATCTCGGTGCCCACACGTCCCCTCCACCACGACGGGGGGGAGGTGTAGGTGAGAGGGGGGGAGGGGGAACACTGGAATCCTAAACTCCAGAGTTTAGGGAATCCCCTCTTCCGATTCCACTGGGACTTGGAGGGAAGAACCCCTAAACTTCGGAGAGTTTCAGGTTTGAAACTCTGGGTGGCCCCTCAGGAGGCTCTTAGTGGCCCCTTGGGAAGGGGGGGGTGTAGGTCGGTGGGGCGGGGAGCGGGCGGGCAAGGTGCAGGGAGAGTGGGCGGCCAAGAGAGGGAATGGCAAGTTGAGTGAAGCGGCCCAGTGTGGGGCACCCACCCATCCCAAGGTATGCCCCCCGTGGGGAAGCCTTCCCATGACAGAAACCATGCAGTACCGCAGGTTGGCCCTTCGTGTCGCGCGCCTCCGAGGCCCCAGGCCCGGAGAGGGGCCAGGAGCCAGGACTAAGGCTGCCACCAGGGAGGCGCGCGATGGGGGCTCCAGCAGCTGGCATGCTGATTCCGGCGCGCTGCAGCATCGTGGCCCTCAGCTGATCCTCGCAGCCCACGGCGAGATGATTGGGAGTCTTGTGTGACCGCGGCCATGGTGCAAATGATGTGGCAAAATTTGGAGACCCGTCTGACCGCAACTCCACATGTGGCTCGTCTGATGTGTCGGGTAATGCCAGATCCGTGTGGGTGAGGAAGCCGCGGCGGGCTTTGGAGCCCTGTCTGACCGCGGACGCACATGCACAACGTGGCCGCGCGGAGGTGGACGAGGAGGATGGTAGGAGCCAGGGAGGGGAGACCAGTAGCCGCTGCTGCTAAAGATGAGGTAGAGAGAAAGAGTGAGAGAGAGAGAGAGCAGTTGAGGTGAATGTAGTGGTGGTCGCGCCGCAACCTGTTGCGGTCAATCGTGAGCCGCCGCTGTGGATACTGGAGTAGGGAGGCTAGCCGACGCTGGTGTTGTGGCAGCTGCCTCTGCCTGTTAGTCAAAGAGGAAATAGTGTGCGGACGGTAGAGGGCTCGCGCCAGCAGCTGCTGCAAGGCGGCAGTGAGTGCGGCGATTTGGGTCGCGTGTCGTGCAGAGGTCAGAATGAATGGAGCGGGGACAGCTGGGCGCTCTGCCTGCCGGTCGTGGCCAGAGTAGGATGGGGAGAGTCGTGTGACGCAGAAGGCAAGCACCCTCGTGGCCAAGTTCGGTCGCAGGCGCGGGAGGGTGTCGTTCGCCATCTTGCCTGGGGAGAGATTGTGAGGAATAGTGCATGCAGTGGCACTCCGGTGAGGCTCGACCATACCACGGGCCTGCTCTGCCACATCGTGGATTGGGTTGGAATGGGCGACGTACCCCTGGTGGCGGGGTGCCAGCCGTGGTTGCTGCTTCACGTTGTGGGCGTGTCTGCCAAACTGGCAGCTCCCGTGTGCGGCGTAGGTCGGTGGCGTGCATGCGTCGTGCTGGTGCTGGATAGCGTATCCGCCATGGTGGTACCGATCTGGTAATCATAGCCGGGGTAGAACTCTTCCTCGTTCTTGTCGTCGCCTGCGCTCATGTCGGCGACGAGAGTGACGTAATGGTGGCCTGGTGTCGTTGATAGAGTACTCGAGGTTCGGGTCGTTGGTGATCACTATCTGGGTGATCGGGCCATTGGGCCACAAGGCGTCCGGGCTGGTGTACGTGAAGAGTCCCTCCCGTATGTAGGTGCAGTATGCTGTCTGGTGGTGTGCCTCCCAAGTGCCTGCGGTCGGAGGAGCGTGCGAGGCCTCGCATGAATGCCATCATTGTGGCTTGGCGTGTGGGGTGGGTCTGCATGTCTGCTGTAGGGTTAGGGGCTCGTGCTGGCTTGCGCGGTTGTTTGGGATAGCGTGGTAAGGGCACTTTTTTTCTCCTCCTCCTCCTCCTCCTCCTCCTCCTCCTCTTCTCCCGTCGCCTGCTGCCCGTCTGGCGAGAAGGCGGCGGACATGACGGGTAGCTGGTGGCCCTGCAGGGTGCGGAGGCACTCTCCGGACTCGGCTGCCCATACCTTCGCCGCGCAGCAGTGGCCAGAGCAAGCGCCGCGCAGGGGGTGAGAGAGGCCCTCCCGCCACGCATGCGCCATCCGCTCTCGAAAGGGGAAGGGAGCGATTAGCAGGCAACTCCTGTGGGGTCTTCGTGGGTACGGTTGAAGGCTATTCGCCCAGATGAGGAGCCCACTGAGCCGGATTCGCCCAGATGCTGCTCAAGACCGAGCTGGATTGAGCGGAGTTCTTTACAACAAAACACGGATGTGCCAGCAGCGATGCTGACTACCCAGGAATTGCATCCTACGGTAGCTAGCCCTGCTGCGAGGCTGCTGGGCAAGGCCGCGCACAGCGCGGCGCGCTGCGCAGCTCGCGTAGGGCAAGCGCACTACGCTGCACGCACGGCAGTCAGCTGGCCCGATCAGAAGGAAAGCCTCGCGAGCAACCACCAGAAGCATCAGAGGGCGTACTGTCTCAACACAGCAGCGATTCTGGCCGCAAGTGCCATGCAGAGGGCCGTGGTCGCCGAGCCAGGACAAACGCAAGGCGCCGCGGGCAGCGGGCTCGGCAGCTGCAGCCAGGGGCTCAGCGGCCCGCACAGCGCCACGCCTGCGCGAGCCGCAGCAGTTGCCGTGCGGCCATGCACTCTTACTAAGCGTGTCGCGGCGGCGACCCCGGCGACACGCTGGTAGGCTCCGCTCCGCGGGGCGGGAGGCCTGGAAAAGCTCGGGGCGTTGACACTCGGGGACCTGGAAGTGGTCAGCGTGTCGCGCCGAGGCGTGGTGGGCCAAAACCGGCGGCGCGACACGCTAAGCAAAACAAATGCCCGGCCTTCGGTCCATCAGCACCTGCGCTACCGCTGGTGTGGGGAAACCAACAGGTACCGATACGGCTACTCCCCGGATCTCTTCTGGGGTGCGTTCTGACCAGAGTTTCGAGGCGAATTCAGCGGTGGCGACGAGGGAAAACGAGGCAAGGGTAGCGGTATGGGTACCGCTTCCTCCCCTGAGCTCGTGGGCGCGAAGGTGCAGCGTGCCCACGCTGACGGGCCATCTCGCCATCACCACTACGAGGCGCGAGGCCGCTGGATCCGTGGCAGCAAGGTCAGCACAGTACTCGCCAAGCTGTCCCGGGACCGCACCGCTGCGAACAACTGTATATCGGGTGCTCGAGGTCGGCCGTGGTGGCGCGCCATCGTACTGACCTCCTGCCTCTTCCTCCTCCCCCTCTCCTCCGCGCCAGCCTGGTCTTGGCCTTCAGGGCGGCCTTCCTGGCCATGATCTACGATCTTTTGGGCGCCCGAAATATCCGGGGTACCTCGGGCCCGGGGTAACTCGGGTTCGGATTCCCGAGCAACGAAATCCGAGCTAGCCCTGACCCGAGCCACCCCCGATGATTCGGGGCCCTGGAATCTGATCTGTGCTCTCTACTTCCTCCTGCTGGCACTGCCACCCTGGCCCCTGCGCCAACGCGCCAGGGCTGCAGAACTGCCGCGCCAGGCGCCCTCGGCACCGGCACCGCCACCAGCGGCCGCGCCTCTCTGCATATGCCCTGCGGGCTCGGGCGGGAGCGGCGACCCCGCCCCCCGGGCGCGGAGCGGACGAAGCGGCCACACGCCAAACGCGCGTGGGCGAGACAGTGCGGCGAGCGTGCTGGCGACGCCAAACGCGTCATCCGGCGGACAGGCGACGACGCGCCACATGCGCGACAAGACAGCGACGACGCACCAACTGCGCGACGGGAGGACGAGGGGAGGAGGAGGAAGATGACGACGGAAGGCGTCGGTAAACGGCTGCGCTGTGGCCGACGCCTGAGCACTGCGTGGACGCCACGTGCGCCCACGCAAGCGAGGTGAGGCCCCGGCATGACGCATCACAGCCCATCGCCCTGCAAAAATCGGAGACGTGCATCTGAAGTTGACAGTGTCCGACGGACCGACCGACCGAGGAGGATGTAGAGGAGGAAGAGGAGGAGGAATAGGAGGAGGAGGAGGAACAGATTCTGTGGAGGCAGACTGGACTGGACTGCCACCTGGAGTGCCGAAGTCGTCTGAAGGGTCAAGACTGTTGCTGAAATCACTCGCACTCTCTCACTCTCTCTCTCTCTCTCTCTCTGGGACGGGGTACGGACTCTCGCCTCGAAAGCGGCGTACGGACCCAGGACATTGCCCCGGACTCGAAAGCCCACGGCACTGCGAGCCTGCACAGGGAACGAGCCTGGTGGGCGGGCCGCCAGGACTGGGGCGGCGCCTGCAGAGCCGTCGCGGCTCCAGCTCCGCCCGCGCGGACCTCGACGCACGGGGGTAGCCCACGGATGGCACTCGCAAACCGCCTGCCTCGAGTTCCCATCCCGAGTCCTTCTTTGACGGTCCTGCCTAGCGAGGGCCCTCGGAAGGTGAGCGTCGCAACAAAAACCTCCGCCATCGTTTCGCCACGTCTCGAGGGGGTATCTAAGGGCACCTGATATGGGGTCCGAGCAGGTGGGACTGGAGGATCCCGCCGCATCGCCGACGCATCGGCGATGCATCGGCGACGTCGGCGGTGCATCGGCGACACCAGCGCGGAGAGAATAGGGCTCCACGTCGAGCCGCAACGGCGATGCATCGGCGATGCGGCGCGATCCTCCGACCCCATCCTTTGGAGGCTGCAGGCGCCCCTGGCCCAAAGGTGCCCCCAGCTGTCCGCTTCCGTTGGGGGCCCCCTGGGGCCCCGTGTGCCCCGTGATAGGGGCTCCCTGGAGGCCGGGGGCGCCTCCCCAGAACTCCGGGGGGCACCTCGGGCCAGGGGCACGCCTGGCAGTACCCGACCTCTAGTCGGAACGCACCCGGGAGGCCTAGAGTCCCGGAGTGAAGGGGGGAGCGAACGTGAGATGGGAATGAGGAGGGAGGGCCAGGAGGACGATTGCTGGCGGCGCACAGTGGGTTTGCGCGAGTGGGGAGGCCCAGAAGCAGAGAGCGGCGCGGGCAAGAAGGGGGAGCAGGACGGCTCGGGAACCTTCGCCGTGCCGTCGTCGGAGGCCGTCAGCGCCTGCAGCCCGCTTGGTGAGAAGGCCGCGGAGTTCACCTCGCTCTGGTGGCCCCGCAGCGTGCGCAGGCACTCCCCTCGGTGGTTCAAGGATGGGGTCCTGAGGGATGGGGACCTAGGGAAAGGAGGGGGCCCAAGGGAGGATTTGCATTGTTTGAAGCACCTCGTCCTTGTGGCGGCGCGCACAGAAGGGGGTTAGGGGGAGGGGGGAGGCTTCTTAGAACGAGGCTGCTTCTTAGATGGTACCGGCCTTACATCCACAGAGAGGGCCCGCGCCTTCTAAGAAGCAGTGGTGCTTGAAAGAAAGCCTTCCTTCCTCACCCTAACCCCATGTCTGCGCGTGGCCGAATGGGACCTCGTCACTCAGGACCCCATCTTTGAACCACCGATCCCCAGAGCCCACCGCCCAGATCCGCGCTGTTTCGTCCCACGAAGCTCGGGGGGACGTAGAGGCAAGGGCAGCCCGCATTGCCTCGGGAAATCGGATCGGCTCGGAACGCGCACCAGACTGGACCGCATCGGCTCTGAGTCGGCATCGAATCGGATGGGCGCCGCCAAGATGCATGTCGGCACCATGCAGGCATCGGGCCGAATCGCATTGCCCGAAAATTGGAATCCCACCAGCCCTCTGGGCGTCGGTGGTTTAGAGCGTTTCCTCTTCCCCCCCTTCGTCTTCCCCTTCGAGGAGGGGTTGATCAATATTCCCTATTAATATACCCCCCCTCCCCCAAGCGACTGTGAGCCAACCCGAGTCAATGAGGGTCCCCCCCCCGCCATCCCTTGTAAACAAAACACTACAAAACACACTTTGCCTCCAAATTCGGAGCATGCGCAGCGAACCCGATGCGGCCTCCCCCACCATCCCTGTCAAAAACACTACAGAGTACACTTGGCGGCGGCGGCGGCTGCGGCGGCTGCGGCGGGGGCAGCGGCTGCGGCGGCTGCGGCTGTGGTGGCGGCGGTGGCGGCGGCGGCGTCCCTCCGCCAGGGGCCGTCCCGAGCGATTTCCCCCCTAACCCCCCACCTCTGGCCCTGCGGTTGATGAACAAAATCCTGCACCACCCGCGCGACCGGGGTGCCAGCGCAAACCTCAACGCGCCCCGGGGCTTCGACCACGCGTAGAGGGGGGCAGGGGGAGGGGGATGCCTTTTTAGAAGCACTCCTTCTTCTTAGAGGGCGCGGGCCTTGTGCATAGGTGTAGGGCCGGCGCCTCCTAAGAAGCAGCCTTCTTCTAAAAAGCCTTCCCCCCTCGCCCCACTACCTTGTGCGCGCCGCCAAGTGCTCACGATTTGGTTGGCGTCGCGCCAGTGGGGCGCAGGCATTTTGTCCAGTCGCAGATCGACGCATCGCGGCGCACCCGGCCAATATTCCATTGGGGGTGCGCAGGGCGCTCGCAGAAATCAGCATAATCTGTGCAGGATGTTACCCATCAAACGTGCCCCACCTCTACAGTGGGAACCCATGCCAAGAAACACCCTGTTTGTCTCCAGGGTGCCCTGGGTTTCTTAGGTATCGATGGTTGTGCGATGGAAAGCGTGACGTCCCCATACTAAAGATCAATGGACGTCCTGGGGCCTCAGGGTTGGGTTTCTTGTGGAAGGTTTCATGTGATCGAGCTCCTACTGTACACTGTCCATTTCGTCCCAAACGATCTCATTCGATGTCTGCTCTGGCCAGGTTGCTTCGATCCGATATTCTAGGTGCTTCGCGTATCCCCACCAGCGGACGGCTGTCGACAGTGACGGCTGGGTTCGCAAATTCGCTCCGTACCGCATCCCGGACGCTACGTCCGCTCCCTGGCCTTTGCCTTGGAGCCGCGAGCCAAAAAAATATCCCCACCAGCTGCGTCCCCACCTGTTGGGATGTCTGGATCGGTCTCCTGCCAACGCAGCTTGCGTTTTAATGAGGGTCATTTTGTCCCTTGCACGTGCATTCGCCTCAGTGGCCAATTTACATCGTCACGCGCCCCGGACGCTGTCTTTGCTCCCTGTCATCCGCCTTGGAGCCGCGAACCAAAAAAATATCCCCACCAGCCTATCGAGAAACGACGCCCAGGCGAATAGAGGGCCGTCCTGAGGGACTCTTGGGCGTCCTGGGTGCCTCGGGGAGGCCTCTTGGGGCCGTTTGGGGTCCTCTTGGGGGCCTCGTGGGGGCCTCTTGGGGGCCTCTTGGGGCCATGTTGGGACCTCTTGGGACCTCCTGGGCGCTTCTTGGGGCCATCTTGGAGGAGATCGATCAAACAAGAGGGGAGCTTCAATTAGGGTCCCCCCCCATCAGGAGGCCAAAATGGGGCCAAAACGTTAGTAAAACCAATGAGTTTGGTTTCCTCCCCGAGGCCGTTGTGGACGCCCTGCCAACTCGCGAACCCCCCCGTCCAAGTCCAGAGGAGGGGGTATGGGGGAGGGGTGAAGTTACCCCCTCCCCGCCGGCAAGCCGTCTCGTTCACTCCCACCCGCCCTCCCAACACATACGTAGCACCCGAGTCTGGCCCGAACCTCAGCATATTCAGCAGTCGTCTTGGGATGGGCAGCTAGTGGGGGCCAACCCGCCGCCGCCGCCGCCGCCGCCGCCGCCGCCCGCCGCCGCCGCCGCCTCCGCCTGTCGCCGCCTGTCGCCGCCTGTCGCCGCCGCCGCCGCCGCCGCCGCCGCCGCCGCCGCCGCCGCCGCCGCCGCGCCGCCGCCGCCGCCGCCGCCGCCCCCCGCCCAAACCGCCGCCGCGCCGCGCCGCCGCCGCCGCCACCGCACCGCCGCCGCCCCCGCCGCCGCCGCCGCCGCCGCCGCCGCCGCCGCCGCCGCAACCGCCGCAGCCGCCGCAGCCGCCGCAGCCGCCGCAGCCGCCGCAGCCGCCGCGCCGCCGCCGCCAAGTGTACTCTGTATTGTTTTGACAGGGATGGTGGGGGGGGGCCGCATCGGGTTGGCTGCGCATGTTCCGAATTTGGAGGCAGAGTGTGTTTTGTATTGTTTTTTACAAGGGATGGTGGGGGGGGGTCGGCATGGACCCTGGTTGGCCCCCAGTCGCCTGGGGGAGGGGGTGTTTATTAATAGGGAACAGTGATCAAGACTCCCTCCCCGCCCGCAAGCCGTCTCGCTCACTCCTAACCGCCCCCCAACACATACGTAGCACCCGAGCCTGACCCGAGCCGCAACATATGCAGCAGTCATCTTTGGATGGCCAGCTACTGGGGGCCAATCCGCCGCCGCCGCCGCCTCCGCCGCCGCCGCCGCCGCCGCAGCCGCCGCGCCGCCGTCGCCGCCGCCGTTGTCCGCCGCCGCCGCCGCCGCCGCCCCCGCCGCTAAATCGCCGCCGCCGCAGCCGCTGCCGCCGCAGCCGCTGCCGCCACCGCAGCCGCCGCCACCGCCCTGGGAGCGCCTGGGAGCGCCTGGGAGCGCTTGCGAGCGCCTGGGAGCACTTGGGAGCGCCTGGGGGCGCTTGAGAGCGCTTGGGAGCCCTCTGGGAGCGCTTGGGAGCGCCTGGGAGCGCTTGGGAACGCCTGGGAGCGCCTGGGAGCGCCTGGGAGCACCTGGGAACGCTTGGGAGAGCCTGGGAGCGCTTGGGAGCGCGCCTGGGAGCGCCCGGGAGCGCCTGAGAGCGCCTGGGAGCATCAGGCCAGGCTGGGCTCGCTCGAGGGATCTCTCAACAACGTGCGATGTCTTGATCCATTCAATGCGCAGGCCCCTAGACGTCTCGACCCATTCCCCAGGACCGGCTTTTCCATCCCGAGCAACTGTTTCGAGAGAGGACGGACGAGGAGGACGGGGAGGAGCAGGAGGAGGACTGTCCGTCGTGGCTCATTTTCACGACGCGAGCATGTCTGGGCGAACTCCACCCTGATAGAAAGCAAATCACGGAAGCTTTGGGTCGTCCCCATGGCGCCCAGTAGCGTGCCCACGCGCGCGCGCAACGTGCACGTGATGCATCTCCCTTGCATGGCGCTGTTGGGGTCGCCTTGAGCGCTATTCGGGGCTATTGAGCGCTGCTTGGCGCTATTGGGCGCCATTCGCCGAAGTACATTCCATCCAAGACGAGCGAACAACTTCCGTGATGCACGATCTCAACCTTGGGCGAGCCCCCCTCGACGTCCCCTCGAGAGGCGGTCAACGCCCGCTGCCCGTCAGGCGAGAAGCCGGCTGCGAGCACGCGGCCCTCGTGGCCGCGGAGCGTGCGCAGGCACTCCCCCAGGCACGCGTCCCAGATCTTCTCGGAGGAGAACCGGGGCTGAGAGAGAGAGGCGGGCCTCCTCGATCGCCAGTCCCTCCCCCGACCTGCTCGCGCCGGGAGAGGGCCACGACGGAAGGTCTTTGGCCGTCTTCGGCCCCTGCGAGCCCTCGCTGGGGTCTGGGACCATCAACACTCGACCCGGGACGAAAAACCGAGGCCGGGTCGTGGGCCGGGACATCCAGGGGGGTCCACTAACTATAGGGCCGACGTGGGACTCTGGCCGCCCTCCCCTGATGCTTCCCATCTCCTTTTGGGAGGCAGCTCCTGGAAGGGCTCGTCGGCCTGGAGGCCACCCAGAACCGGAGAACACGCCTGGCGAAAACGCCCGAAACCCTCACTCGAGGCGAAGACCTGACACTGGCATGGTGGTCGTTGCCCCTGACACTGGCATGGTGGCCGTTGCCCGACCGAAACGCCCGAAACCCTCCACTCGAGGCGAAGGCCTGACACTGGCATGGTGGCCGTGCGATCTTGAGCTCCGACAGGATGGACCCCAGGAGGGCCGGGGACCGACTCGGAGGGAGCGGCTCTGGGCCAGGCGGGACGGGGCCGGGCCCGGGGCCTCTCCTGGAGTGCATTCTGACCAGAGTTTCGAGGCGAACCCAGCGGTGGCGACGCGGGCCGCCCAGGAGGCCCCCAGACAGGGAAAACGAGGGAAGGGTAGACCGAATGTTCGGCTTCTCCTGAGATCCTGGCGTTGCATTTTTTCACAACGAGCGCTTCCGCCCCGTTTCGGGCCCCGGGACCCTCACAGATCGATCCGGATCGAAACATGACGCGGGGCTCCAGTCGGGATTTTTGCAATGCTGCAACTTTGTCGCAACGTCGGCTCTCAGGGCCTCCTCTGGAGCCCCGACAGGGTGCACCCCAGGAGGGCCCAGGGACCGACTCGGAGAGTCGGGAGCGGCTAAGAGGGGGGCGTCCAAGAGGGGGGGGGGGGGGGCAAATCATGGCCGGCGGCATGTGCGCGGCCCAAGCGGGGGCCAGGGACGTAATGAAACAAGAAGAGTGGCCATGAAACCTGGGGAGACATCATGGCCCCCGCCATGATATCCACCCTCGTCATCACCCCCCTCTGCGGCGGCCCTCCCGCCGGCGGCCCAGCAGACCGCACCGGCGCGCGGTCTTCGGGCCGTCCAGGGCTTCGTGGCGACGAGGCCCCGCCCCTGGTCAGGTCAGGCCAGGCCTGGCACCAGACGGTGCGTGAGCCGAGCAGAAGCGGAGAACTCTCGGCTGCCTTCCGCATCCGCCCCGGCTTCTGACCACCAGCTCCCGCTCGCGCGCTGCACCGCCCCCTGGGCGGAAGTGCTCCGCGAGACGCGCGTGCGAGCCAGAGAGACGTCCATGCCATGGCGCATTGCTGGCTGCCCCCCGCGCCTGCCGAGGTCGGCCTCGCCTCCGCGGAGCGGTCGGCCGGCGCGGCTGCAGGGTGCCCGGTGCAAACACCGAGGCCTTGACCCCCGAAGGCCAGGGCAGGGGACCAGACAGCTCGCCATCGCTCGGACGCCCATTCCCCGTGCGCTGTTCGGCTTCGTGCGTGCTCTTTTCTCTCGATTCGCAGCCATCCAGGGCCTCGTGGCGACGAGGAGGCCCCGCCTCCCGAAGGCCAAAGCAGGGGACCAGACAACTCGCCATCGCTCGGACGTCCATTCCCCGTGCGTTGTTCTGATTCGGGTGTGTTTGTTCCTTTTCCTTAGCAAGATGATCCAGGACGCTCCTCGATGGCCCTCGCCGAGGCACACACACACACACACACACACGTCCGAGGGATGTCAAGGGGCGCCTAACTTCGCGCTCTCGCGCCGCCCCCCAAGGGAGAAGAGGAGGACGAGGAAGAATCGGAGCCGAACCGCGGAGCGCGAAGTGCGAATAACTTCGTGCCCTCGAGGGCGCCCTTGTGAAACCTCTGAGGTCCGCGCAGACTTCTCGGATCGGCGCTGCACCCGCCCCGCCCCGCCTGGCGCGCGGAGCGCGACAGGGGCCGCGCTGGAGGCACCGCCAGGGGCCCCAGCGCCGAGCCAAGAAATCCGTGCGGACCTTTGAGATTTTGATGTGCGTGTCATTGTTTGCTCCCCCCCACAGGGAGCGCAGACTGCAGACCTCCGACGACTGGGACTTTTGGACTCTTGGGCCCGCGGACCTCTCGACCCGTTTCCCGAGACTGGCTCTCAACCCCGGGGCGCAGCCAGGCCAGGGGCGGCGCCAGGGTGTTGAGACCGCCTCAGACTACTCGGGCGGCCCGCTGAGACCCGCCAGGCCTGCCTGTGGAGGCTGTCCGTGCGCAACCCGAAGCCTTTCGGCTCATGGGCAAAAGCTTGCACCACCCGACCAGGGGCGCCGGCGCAAACTTCGACGCGCCCCCCTGGCCCCGATTCAATGATGGCTGGCATCGCCGGCGAGGCGCAGGATCTCGGCCAGTCGACAAGCCCACGCATCGCGGCGTAGCCCGCCAGTATCGAATTGGGGGTGCGGGAAGTGTTCACAAGAAGCAACATGAAAGATATAGAATTGTGTCCATTACCATCGATCGTACGGTCGGGCTGCTGAAATAAGGACCGCTAAGTAAGGAACGAAGCCCGGAACGAAGCCCCAGTCTGGAACCAATAGAGCCTGGGTGCCCGAGGAGGGCTACAGGGACTACCACGCAATGACCTGAGGCACAGCGAACCCCTCCCGAACCCCTTAAGCGGTCCGTGCTTCGGCTTCCCTTGGGCGTCGCACAGTGGGGGGGCGACAAATGGGTGAGGGGAGGAGGCGAAGGCTGAAGAAAAGGTGCCCTTCAGGGCCCCTGAAGGGGCCCTTGAGGGCCCCAAAGGGAGCCTCTGGGGTCCGAGAAGTGTAATTTGTTTCTCCCCCATGTATCGCCCTCCCATGCAGCCAACCCGTATCACAACGGCGCACGATAAGGATGCAAGGGCCTTGGAGGGACATGATGAAGCTCTTCGAGCGGGGCGCGGCCAGCGAAGGTGGACAAGGATAGACCGAGGAGGCAAGGACGCAAGGGCATCCTTGGGAAGGCTGCCAACCCTTACTGTGCGGGTTGACTGTCAAGCGGCGCCCAGGTCCCGGCTGCACTTGCCCCTCTGGGGGTGCGGCACTGCACGGTTTCCCACGGGGTCGTAGGCGACCCGAGGAGGAGGAGGAGCAGGAGGAGGAGGAGGAGGAGGAGGAGGAGGACGGGTCGCCTAAGCCCTTCGGAGAAACCCTCCAGACGCAAGGGCATCCTTGGGAAGGTTGCCCATCCTTACTGTGCGGGTTGACTGCCAAGCGGTGCCCAGGTCCTGGCTGCACGTGCCCCTCCGGGGGCGCCGGCACTCGAGGAGGGCCGCCCACGTTGCCCGGCCCTGGCCCTCCTCCGGTCTTCGCCGTCCAGTCCCACGAGGCGCTGAGCACCCGCCGGCCGTCGGGCGAGAAGGCGGCGGAGGACACGGCGCCCCGGTGGCCCCGCAGCGTGCGCAGGCAGTCCCCAGAGGCGGTGGCCCAGACCTTGGGCCGTGTCGGGGGAGGGTCACCGAGCACGTTCCCCACTGCACCAGAGCTCAGAGTCGAGAGCATGTTGCGCCAAGAAGGTCGGCTTCACTCGGAGCGTTTCTGATCCAGCTGTCCGGGTCCACAAAAACAAACATTTCGCGAAGAAGCGAGGTTTCAAAAAAACGCCGAAACGACCAAAAGCCATGATGTAATGAACCGTGAATCCCCAGCCACGGATCCAGGCCGTTTGCGAGTAGTTACTTTGCGAGCAGTGGAACGGCTTCGCGAGAGGGGGGGAAGAGGAGGAGGACAAGACAAGACAGGACAGGACAGGACCTCGGACATCGTCCCAGAGAACGGCTCTCTCTCCCTCTCTCATCGTCGTCGTCGTCGTGGTCGTGGTCGCGGTTGTGGTCGTGGTCGTGGTCGCCGTCGGAGAAGGAGGAAGAGGATGATGAGGGAGGAGGACAGGTCAAGACAGGACGCCAGAAATCGTCATGGAGACTGGCTCTCTCTCTCTCTCTGTCTCTCTCCTCTCTTCTCTTCTCCTCCCCATCCTCCTCATCCTCCTCATCCGCTCTCTCCTACGACAACGAAAAAGAACACGATCACCAAGGCGGAGCCATACAGCTCCAGGGAAGAGCCCGACGACGGCCCCGCTTCGCCAAGTGGCCGCTCCCCGCCAGTGTAACGTTGGCACGAATTGGATCGTATGGCCATACTGTCCCTCGATCATGCATTCGCCAAGGAACTCGCCATCACTCGGACGTCCAGTCCCCCTGCATTGGCCGGCTTCGTGCGTGAATCTGTTGTCGCGAGATGGCCCAAGAGGCTCACCGATGGCCCTGGCCGAGAAACGGTGCACACGTCCGAGCGATGCCAAGCGAAGGAGAAAGGGGGAAGGAGGGCGACGGGGAGGCGGAGGAGGGAGGCGTCCCGATGAGGCTGTGATCGATGTGGATTGAAGTCCGACCAGCGCCAAACAAAAGGAAGCGTCTCTGGGGAGACCAAAAGGTACCGATACCGCTACTTCCCGGACCTCTCCTGGGGTGCTTTTTGACGAGGATTTCGAGGCGGATCCAGCGGTGGCGACGAGGGTCTCCCAGGAGGCCTCCAAAGGGGAAAACGGGTGAAGGGTAGAGGTATGTATGGGTACCTTCTCCTCCTCCGAGACCAACGCCAATCGAAAGAGGCGCCCCCTGACCTTTGCCGTCCCGTCGCCCGAGGTGGTGAGCGCCTGCAGCCCGTCCGGCGAGAATGCCGCGGAGTGCACGGCGCCCTGGTGGCCCCGCAGCGTGTGCAGGCGCTCCCCGGACTCCGCCGACCAGATCTTCGCCCCGTCGCCGTAGCAAGTCACTATGCCCGAGGAAGAGAAGGCGGCTGCTCGGAGCTCTTCCTCCTCCTCCTCCTCCTCCTCCTCCTCCTCCTCCACCTCCACCTCCACCTCCACCTCCTCTTCTTCCTCCTTCTCCTCCTCCTCCTCCACCTCCTCTTCCTCCTTCTCCTCCTCCTCCGTCAGAAACATAAACTTTCGGAGCTCTGCGCCGACCTCTTGGATCCGCGCTGGACCCCCCTGGCGCGCCGGGGAGGAGGGTGCGGCGCCGATCCATGTCATCCGCGCGGACCTCAGAGAATTTGCGTTCAGTCCGAGTTGTCTTCTTCGATCTGCGGCGCGCCCTGGTGACCACGATGGTCAACTCACTGCCGCTCTGGGCTCCGATCTCACCCAACGTCGCGTTTCCGCACAACTCCGCCTTAGGGCAGAGACAGGGATGAGGATAAGGATGATGAGGGGGAAAAGGCAAAAAAGAAGTGAGGGGAGTAAGCGCAGGAGTGGAAACTAGAACCAAAAGCACGAAAAGTCGTGGAGACGTCAGACTCGGGTTCGAGGGACTCGGGTCGGCCATGACGAGACCCAATCTGAAACTTGGCGCAAACTCCCGCTGCAAAAGGCCCCACGAAAACCGGACCAACCAAAATTCGGGGCGGCGGGCGCGTCCAAGAGCGTCCGCAGAACCCGACTTCTGGCGAACTCGAGCCCTACCTCTCACCGAGGAGAGCAGGGACGAGGGACGACGACGAGGACGCAGGGAGCCGGAGCAGGGAGAGGAAGCTCGGAGGGCGGAGACAGGCTCCCGCGCAGCCCCGCCTGCCCGAAGAAGATGCGCCGCCTGCAGCCGCCCGCCCCGCCTTCGGTGGCGACTCATGGGAGCCTCCCATACCATCCTGTCGGTTCTTGCAAGTCGACGCTAAGTCGACGCTAAATCGACGCTAATCGACACCGACGCTTAATCGACGCTCATCGACGCTAGGCGACGCTACATTGGCGCTATCTCGTCGACTCCTAGACGCTGATCGACGCGAGTCGACGCTGAAGACAGACTCACGAGGGCACTCAAAAGCTTCCATGACTTGCTACCGCACCCGCCCAAATCCGGCACGGCCGCGAGCAGGTCGTCCAGCCGCCACGATGGCTCGGCCTCCAGGGCCGCGAGCTCGCGCCCACTGCACGCCGCAACGGACACGAGCATGTGTGCGGCCGCGCTCGCGGAAACGCCTGGGGACCGCCGCGCGCCTTGACGGCCAGGGCTCGGGCCCCGGCGCTCGCCAGAGACGGAGGTGATCGAGCCTTCGGCCAGGAAGAGAGAAATGCGCGCGAGAGGTTGAAAGAGAGAGAGAGAGAGAAAAACAAAAACAACAACAACAAAAGCAGCAAGACTACACAACCAGCAATACAGTAGCAATACGAACAGAAGAGAGATAGGAAAAGAGAGACATAGACATACGTATACATACACCTATACACAGTTTCTGGCTTATGGATGGAGAGAGAGCGAAGGAGAGAGAAAGAGGAAAACAGAGAGAGAACAAGAAAAAGAGAAAGAGAGACAACACACAGGTGTATATATATAAATAGAGAGAGACAGAGAGAAATATATATAGATATATATATAGAGAGAGAGAGAGAGAAAGAGAGAGAGAGAGAGAAACGACAAACATAGAGAAAACAAACCAAACAAACATATAAAGCCCAACAATCAAAAACAATTATTTTGCTTCGAGCGATCCGCACCGAAACCTGAAGCGTTTCTTTCCCGACGGCGCGCGTTCGCCTAATTGGTCGGCAACTGCAATTTCAATCGTGTTCCATGTAGTCACGCTCAAATTGTGCTCTATTATGTCCTGAGTATTTCTGGACGAGCCGGCGTGACGTCGTGACGCCTATGACATTAGATGCGTCGTCTGTGACGATGTTCTTCTTCACTTATGTTTCTCTTCTGGTTGGGCATGTTATGTTATGATCGCACTTTTTTTTTTATATATATATATATTGACATGCTATGGTATGCTATGTTATGTGACACTACGCCATTATATGAGATGGGATGCCACATTATGTAATAATATGATGCGCTCCGTGATGCTGTTGACAGCTCGGCTCAGTAGAATATATTGTAATATGCTCTGCTACTATGGTTCACTGTGCTTTGTTGTCGTCTCATGATATGTTATGTGATGCTATCTGTCATGGCATGATATGGTACGTTCTGTCATGCTGTGTTATGATATGTATATTTACGTTATGTTATAACGTATTGCGTCGTCTTCTGTTCTGTCATGTCATGATATGGTATGTTATGTGATGTTA